CAGCATGCTTTCACTCCTAAGGTGGGACTAGAATTCTCAGGCTCCTAATGATTGGCTCAACATCATCCAGCTGGCTTTCACTCCTAAGGCGGGACTAGAACTCTCGGGCTCCTAGTGATTGGCCCAAAATCACCCAGCTGGCTTTTATGCCTAAGGCAGAATTAGAACTTCCTGTCTCCTGGTGATAGACCCAAAGTCACCCATCCAGCTTCCCTCCTTCATGTGACACTAAAATTCACTTGTCGACACCAAAGTGGCCCTCCAAATACAGGCCTGTGCACCAACCACACGCCAGAGCATTTTTGTGCTGCCATGGCTCCACAACTGAAGTTCTGGCTAAGATCCGGACCCTGGAGACCAGCCCCTCCCCGCTCACCTCTTTCTCTGCCTCCGAGTCCGAAGAAGAGGGGGCTGCCTTAAGCTGCCCCTTCTTGCTCCTCCTGGGGGTTTCGCTGTCCGCGCTGCTGTCGCTCTCCGCGCCCTCCGCCTCCTTCTCGGCTTTCTCCCGCTTCCGCTCCTTCTCCTCCCGCTCCTGTTCCCGCAACCGGCGCAGCTCCTGCTCCTGCTCGCGCTTCCGCTTCTCCTCCAGTTCTCGCCGGCGCTCCTCGTCCCGCCGTTTCCACTCGCTGATGCGATCCACGTCGCTGTCGCTGAGGGGGGGGGTGCAGAAGAGAGAGACAGGAGGGAGAGTCCAAAGGCATGGGGGAGTCTCAGCCGTTTTGCTTGCACGGAAGCTCAGCTCACGGCCCCCAATCCTCCCGGGACTTTGGAAAGTGCTATCCTGATGGGGCTCCTGGCCAGTGTTGTGGCCCGCCAGCGGCCAGCGGATCTGGCGGCAGATTCAGACAGTGAGGAGGGGTTGGGGAGAACAGTTGGAGTCTGGGGAAGGCACTGAGGAGGGCTCTGCGTCGGAGGCAGAGACGGGGCCGGGGTTGGTCTGACAGTTACCAGCTGCCTTTGGAATCGGAGATCAGTGGGGAAGAAGAACAGCTGGAGCCTGTTCCCAGTGTGCTCATGTGCAGAGCTGACAGATGAAGGGAACAGCTAAAGAACAAGGGTCGACTTGGGAGTAAAGGCTCAGGTGGATGGTGAATGGCCCCTCCCAGAGGTAATAAAAGAGGAGCGAAAGGGGAGTGGCGTTTGCAGGAGACAACTAGTTCAATTCATGAGGGTGAAGATCTGTTCCTGACTTCTTGCCAAGTAAGTGCTGCTACAGCATGGCGTTTGGAAGATATCGGCCTGGCAATTCTCCAAGCCTCATAAAGGTATGTAGCTGTGAAATCTCTTGACAGACTGTTTGCTGGGACTTTGCTGGAGAGGAATTCCCTTTAATTCCCTTTAACCTAAATAAAAAGAGTTTTATCGGGACGAGGAGTCTGCTTCATGGTCTCGGGAAGCCGAGGTCAGAACAGCCAGCTCCAAGGGGGGTGCAGGGGGGGACGACACACAAGGTCTCCATCTCTTACCTGTCGCTGCTGGAGGTGCTGGGAAGTCGCTCGAGTTTAGGTTTCCGGCCCCGGGGCTTGGGAGGCGGCTTTTCTGCAGCTGGGAGGGGAAGGAAGGAGATGGCCAGGGGTTTGGAAAGAGGGAACTTGTGGAAGTGCAGCCCTCCTGAATCCAGGCCTCCCCCTCCTCAGACACAGCAGAAGACGAGTGTGGAGAGATGGAGGGAATGAGGGAGGGAGGGAGGGGTCTGTTAACCGTGAAGCAAGCTAAGCAGGCGCTTAGGGCACCAGGCCCCAAGGCCCCCCCCACAAAGTTGAGAACATGGCTTCGTGGGGGACAGGAGGCACAAGGGAGAGGGGTACCAAGATCTGTCAGTGCTTAGGGCACCAGGGAGCCTTAATCTGCCACTGGAGGGAGGGGAGGAAGGAAGAGGGAGGAAGGCAGGAAGGCAAACAATGAAAAGAAATAACGGAGGGAGGGGAGGGAGGAAAAGAATGAAAGGAAGCAATGAAGGAAGGGCAGAAGGAGGGAGGGAGAGAAGGAAAGGAAGAGAGGA